AACAAGCTGCATTATGTAATTTTGGTTCTGTCTACTGCTAAAGTTCTTGCTTCATAAAAGCACACTCAGAATGCACCCAAACGGTTACCAAACCTTGTGTCATCAAAGCCACACTCACCAGCCCTCCAGACACGCTCTCAGATGTAGCAGGTTAAAGAAACATCTGCTAGCACTGTGGCTCATGCCTATTAGAGAAAACATTTTTCCTAAAAATTGGTACTTTGATTCTAAATTCATACATGGTATTTAGACCCAAACAAATTTTTAAAAACAACCTCCTCCCCCACTTCCAAAGACTACATGCAGAAAACAACTTTGCCAACAAGAGGGAAATATTTAAATAGTAGGACAGAAGGATACTTTATGTATTGAATTATTGTAAACTCACAACCACTTTGCTGTCTGTCACTGAAAATTAAACAGTAAATAACAGCAAATGTGAATGGGGAAAAAAAATAAATTTTTTTAGGATTTTTAGTATGGAATAAGTCTCATGATTTGGAGAATTTGGTTCCACTTTTTTGACTATTTAGCAAAAGCATTGGTTTAAGTGTTTGCAAGTGCTGTATCTTTGTGTCTAAACAAATGAGACTCCTCATAAATATATACAAGAAGTGCCATTATACCAAGAAGCCCAGCTCTAACTGTAACGTTAACATAAATATTACAGCTGTTACTGATTACAAATACAAATCAGGACTTCTAAGATTACATTCGTATAATTCTGATGACTCAGAAGAAAGTGAAACTGCATTGGGCCCAAAGTAATTGAAAGTAACTGCTGCTAAAAGGGACAAATTTTGCCAGATTGGCTCTGATAACATCCTAATTCTGCCTTCAAGTGAGATCAGCCAGTAGCTTATATATTTATCAGCTGCCTGCTTCATCACCTCACCCAGCTGATTCCAAATGGTCTAGTCCACTGATCTAACTTTCCTTCCCAAACACAAAACTTTTTACAACACTCATGATAATGTTACTCTTTTAGAGTCTTCCAGATGGAGCTTGCACTTCTAATATTAAAGAAGAATCACTAGAAACCCAGTCACAAGTCTTCAGGTTTTGTCTAACCAAAAAGCATAATACCATTGCTCTTAAATGTTTCTAAAAACACCATAAGCACATAAAAAGAAATAATTGTTTCTTGCAGAAAACCAAGTTTACTTATGTAACGTGTCTGTTTCTGCAAATCACTTCTATGAAAATATCATGCTGAAACAAAGAATAATATTTAGACACATTTAATAAATGACTGAGGTTTAACATGATAAATGGTTCCACATTACAATTTTTTCCAGTAGCAAAGCCTGACTAGGAGATTCCTGCCTTTTTCTCACCCAACTCCTTCTACCATTTTGCTAGTTTACTTCTCAGTTGCACTGATGCAACTGTTTGTGGAGCTGCACTCTAAGCCAAAACAAGAAAAAATTACCTCATTTAAGAAAACAACATCACTCTTATCTTAGGTCTAATTTTAGAATTCATAATTAGAAGGAAAAAAACCCAAACATCACAATTACTCGAAGTGCCAGTTAAGAAATCATGAATATAAGGTGTATTTCAGTTGCATGGGAAGATTCTTGTTTAACAGTTAAAGTTAGACTTTAACTATTCCATTTGCAAGTGGAATATCAGGAAGGGAATTACTGTCGGATGGCCAAAGCTGCCGACATTTCATTTCAGGGAAAAAAAAGAAATTATTTATATTCCAATTACAGCCTTTCCTCTTAGAGACAAAAGAAACTGAAACACAAAAGGTGAGTTTTCCTCAGTTCCCTTTAGTACCCACCAGTGTAACTTTCAAAGGAGACATGCACCAGATGTACTAGTAAAGCTTGCACAGAGAATATTCATATATAAAAAGGATAGCAGCAGGTTTTTCTTTGGAACATTGTCTCACAAGCAGTACATGGAAAATATACTACACCTATTTTTTCCTATTTAAGAGCTTCAGAGTTGAACAACAGTGATCAAGTATTTAGAGTAAGTGTAGTTTATTTCTCCTTCAGTAAAGAAGTTCAAAGCTAACTTAATGCAACAGTAGCAGAGGTACCAGAGGCAGCCCCTGTAATTACTGCACTTGCATCACCTTCTGACAAATGACTTTTCAGACCAAGTGCACTGCTTCCTCCCATACATGCAGGTCACACACTCACTTGCAGTATTATTGATTTGCAGACTGGAGAGCAGGATCCAGCACTAGTCACTGCCTTCCTCACCTGCTTCACATTACTTAGCTAACATGACCGTGTTGTGCTAAACTTTGGGAGAGTCACTGCTTTTCACATTAACTTTCACATGGATGTCTGATGCTGAGATGAAGAATTCTCAAGGCACTTCATGGATCAGGATCAATCGCCGAGCACACGGCACAGCTGAAGGAGTAGGAGCAACTGCTTGATTCGTGATTGTTACAGCTTCACACTCAATTCTTCCAGGTCCAAAAACATCATATCAAGTGAGCAGGGAGTTGCCACAATGAAAAAACACAAATACACCTATGTCCTACTGAGAAAAGGCGTAATTAGCAGTGTTATGCTGCAAGTGGGATCTTCATGAGCTCTGCTCAATCTTCACCAAGGAAAAAAAATCCACAAACCTTTATTCCAACTAGGTTGCAGATTGTTGCTTCAGTCTTTAGTTATTTTAACCTGTCTTACCAAACTCTGACTCTCCCCTCAAGCCTTGCAATCTTCTGTGTTTACTACTTGAAAGCTAAATCCCTTACTCTAACAGCATTAACAATGAGTTAGATGACTTCAAGCACTTTTTGTAGGAGTTTATGAGGTGAACTCACTGGCTAGCTTTTTAGACTCCTTGAATGTCAGCAACTTTGCTTTACATCCAAGGAACTCTCAGATCCTCAATCTTCTACTCTAAGGAACAGGTATTTCCCTGTATGTATCACTCTTATTTTTTCCTCTTGTTTTTAAATAACTTCCCTAGCAAAAAAAACAAAAACAAAACCAAAAAACAAAACCAACCAAACAAAAACTTCCAGCTTTACTGGTTTTAGGTCAGTTTCTCATTAATTTCACCAAATATCTTTACAGAAGAATTCTGCATTGGAAGGAGAAGTATGTACATACAGAAGAAATAACATGAAAAGGAGATAAGAAGTTGAAGCTTTTTGTGTCACTCCTTGCTGCTGAGTTTCCAGGATTGTTTCTTGGAATAAAATGCCTAATAAAAAGCAGTTCTTTAACATTTATGGTAGGGAAAAAATAAGAGCAAAGGAAAGATCTTGAAAATTCTTGAAAAACCAACTTAAAACAATTGCTAGCTACAGCCAATGTGGTAACCTGGACTAAATTCTACATCAATGACATTATTTTCACTGAAGAAAGTACAAGAGGGGAAAAGAGCACCAGAGTCAAAATTAATACTTAAATTGTCTATAGAACTTACTGGCTTATTTTAACATAGTAGTTTATGTCCTAAAAGGGACTGTGGTACTTTCTTCCTCTTCTGTCATTGAGAGACATCCATCTCTATTGTCCCTACTTATTAGTTTTATGTAGCTAATTAAGTGGAAATCAAAATGAATTTTTTAAATTCATGCATCATCAACAGAACTATTAATTAAAACCTTGTTCTTTCCAAATGTCAACAACGATTAGGCAGTGAAATATTGTTTGTGAGGTTACTCATTTGGGTGGAAGACAAGCTTACCATGGTAATATTGTTTTTAATAGTCTCTGCTTAAAACAACTGCAAAATTATATGTTACACTGATGTAAAGAAAAAAACCCATAATCTGTAGAACTACAAGGCATGAATCAGAAAGACTCACTTCAGATCCTATGATGACAAAGGATAGCTAAACCACGTATCATTTACTTGTATGTTACACAATAACCCCCCAAATCTTCGTTCGCGAAGCCTAGCCATGACAATGACACACAATAACCACTGGAACGCACAACTGGCACATTTTTGTTAAAAATGAGAAATATTCAGCTTCCAAGGCCAGTAGGGATACAAAAAGTCCAATTTGTTTAGAATTAATAAGAGGGGAAAAAACAGCCAGTGAAACCATGGCAGGCAGATGCAGAATTGCAATGTGTTTGATCTATTGTGTTTGTGCACTTGAGGTACAAGTGCACAGCTGTCACGCTTCATATGTGTGACAACTCAGCCTATAAAGCACTGGTGTCAAACTGCTCCATAAAGTTCCAGAGTTCATTACTCCTGATTCATCAGCCAAAAGGATGGCCTTGCTCCCTGGCAATAATTTAAGAACAGTGATGAACAAACTCTTTCCTAATCATAAAATGCAATATCTTACTCTTTCTAGCAAACAGATATCTCATCTGAGATTAGTCCGGTGGCTGAATCATCGCTATCTCCCAACAAAGAGCGGATGCTGACGGGGACGAAAAGAGTGCTGATCTGTTGCTCCACGCTGCTTACTGAAATGAAAAGCTAAAGTATTAGAATGAATGAAAACAAGAGTCACGACAGGCACTGAAGTGTTAATATCCTTCATTTTATGCATTATAGAAAATTACAACTGCATGCAAGCATTCATACCTGGGTCAGTGTTATGCCTGCCCCTGCTGGCAAATTCCTGCAGGAATCTGTACGTGCCAGAGGAGCCGCATGACACACACATGCTGCGGCACGCACGTCTCGGTTTACAGGTGAATTAGGGCAGTTCGACCTCCTCTAGCAGACCGCAGCCCCTGCAGGGCCCTGGCAGCGCCAGCTCTTGCCCACACTCGCGGTCGCGCTCCCGCACGGGGCGAGTTCGGAGCTCCAGGACCGCGCTCGCAGGAGCGAGGAGCACACCCGGCACACTGCGGGAGCACAGACCGGCACACGGGTTCATGCTGTATTTTTCAGGCACACGGGGGACACAGACCCCGCACACTCGGGGAGCACAAACCCCGCACAAGGGAGTCCCTCATACTTTATTGCCCCCCACAGCCGCGCACCACTCCCGACACCTCCACCGCGTTCACCGCGCGAGGAGGTTTGAACCGCGCCGGCCGCCGTACGGGGGAGGCGCCACCGCCGCTTCCGCGCGGAGCGGCCCCGGCCGCGCCATGGAGCTCCTGCAGCCGGCCGCCCTCCTCCTCCTCCTTCTCCCCTTACTGCTCGTCCCGCTGGCGCTCCTGGCCAGGAGGCGCAGCGGCCGGAGGACACCTCCGCTCAGTCTCCTGGTGGTGGCTGGCTCCGGTGAGTGGGGGTTGCCGCCGGCGGGAGCGGATGGCGCCGTAGAGCGGCCACGCAGTGCTCCTGGAACTGCGAGTCCCGGCATGCAGCGCGGTACGGCGCCCGCCGGTAGGCCCCGGTGCATGCCGGGAGCTGTAGTCGCGGTGCCATGGTGCCTCCACGGCGACTCTCGCAGCCCACCCGGGCCGGGCCGGGCCGGGCCCCCTCCGCGCCGCCGCCTGTCTTTGGGTTTTTTTAGTGCTCGATTTGAGAAACTGTTAGGCTACGTCTTCATGTGGGGCGTTTTCATCCGTGTTTATGTGTGGCAGTTCGGTTTCAGAACCTTTCCCTCCGGCAGCACGTGCATTTCTCCAGAGTCACTCCCGAATGTATCGATAAACTGGTGCAGGACTGACCTGTGCAGCTGCTTAGTCTGCTGACGAAAAATTATTGATGGTGGTGCAGGGCATGGCTTTCCAACGATCGGCACACCCCTGACATACGTGGCGTTTTGTAATTCACCCAAACCACGTTCCTGTGATTTACTCACAAGAGCCTCGCGTGGGTCCGTCAGTGGCAGTACAGCTGTGCAAGTGTGTCACCCCATGCTAAGGGGGGCACACACATCTACTACTCCTTGTTACCTCCTCCCCAAAGTTGCAGGGCAATTAATTTGCCCTAAAAAACTCATTTGAAATGTTGCGATTGACAAATCCAGGCCAGCTTGGATTTCATCACCTCAGTATCCCTTTGGATTTTGTGCACCAACTAATTGAGTAATGGTCTCAGGATCTTCCTGCAATCTGAGTTTCACTGGCAGTTTTATAATTCTTCAGGTCATCTTTACTTCCACTAGGGCTGGAAATGTTGTTTTCCTTCAGTCTTTTGGAATCTAGTTTGTATTAAAAGAGTACTTTCCCTATACATAAGCTTACCAGGTGAAATAATTCGTGTCAGTTAAGATTCATATAATGTTCAAGGCCATTTGAGACTTTAAGTAGGAGTCTCCTACTCTTATGTGAATGCTCAGACGATTGCATTAAAATTTGTGAAACCTTCAACAAACATTGCTCACAAGAAAATACCTCCAAACATATTTGAAAAATACAGCATGAAATTGTGTGGAAAGGTGGCAAACTCTCATTTGTAAAAGGCCACAGCGTAGCCTGCCTTGCTTGTCAGTTGCTCAGCAGTCATGAGTTCTTCACCTGTGTAACAGGTCTCTTAGGAGCCTGGTGACCCGGGACAGCAGGAGGTAGTAGGAATACATTTAGTTTGCTATTTTGGTCTGTAGCTGCCAGCAGAGTGAAAAGTAACACGTCCAGTAAATGCTTATGCACGTAGCATAAGTGCAGTTTGATGTTAAGCTGATCCAGTCCAACAGATAAAAGGTGAGCCCATTCCACTTCACCTGTGTACAGAGTCTTCTTTCTCTCCCTTTCCCTGTTGCAACATCCCTGTAGCTGCAGTTCAGGAAGCTCAAATGACAAAAAAAAAAATTAACCCTTCCCCCTAAAAAGCACAATTAGTACTTCCTCTCCAGTTTGGTGCCAGTTTAGCTCCCTGAATCAAGTGACCTTGCAGTTGGAAGGTTGTGAACACCCGCTCAAGGGCAGTGGTCAGAGCACCCTGCGGGAGCAGGACTGTTTGTTCTGTCAGCACCAGGCTGTTACACACTGGAGCGGCTGTGAGTGAAACTGCTGCCCAGCTGATTTCGGTATTATGAGCTGGGATAGTACAGTCCTTGCTGAAAAACATCCATCAATACAGCTTCAGTGGATTATCTCCACATTACTTAAACATTTAGTCTTAATCATCCTCTGATTGAATCCTCTACTCTCAGAAGAGCATCACTGAAAGTAGAAGTACTAACACGTTTTAAAAGGAAAAGTGACCGATTCAGCTGAAGAAATGGAAAGTTACAAAATTTCCCATATACTAACTGCAGTTCGTTTTGTTTTTACAGGTGGGCACACAACAGAAATCCTGAGGTTACTTAGCTGTTTGTCAGAGTCCTACTCTCCTAGACATTATGTTTTTGCAGACTCAGATAAGATGAGTGAAGCTAAAATACGTTCTTTTGAACAAAAAAGGGCTGAAACATTCCCCAAATCCCAGGTAACTTGTTAAATATATTCATGTAAGATAAAATGATCTTAACATGACGTTCTAATTCAAGGCAATTTGGAAGTGATTCTTTAAAAGGTATTTATACGAACAGCAAGTGCTTTTGATTTTCTAGATATTGATGATCACTTACACTAAAGTTCAGCTAAGGGTGCCATTCTAGGGATATTAGGTTTTATGTTTCTAAAAGTGAGCTAAATAACCACTATTGATTATTGGTGTACTAGAGGGATACTGACAATGCAAAGTAAATCTACTTAAAAATAACAAATGCTGTTCTTGCTACCAGTTTTCACAACCACCTTTCTTACTTTCTCTTAAAAGTCTTTACCTCCTGTTTATATGTTAATCCGTTTAAACTAATGAGGGAACATAATTGTAGTGAAAGTGACTGTACAAAGAAGGCTGTCTCTTGCTCAAGAAAAACATGTTGAAGATAAATCTCTTTTAATTTTGTAAATCAACTAGCTATTGAAGTGTTATTTGTAGCTATAAATATACTGGGTCAGAAATATGGTGGGGCAGATTCTTTTCTTTTTTAATTTGGCATTTCCCTTGATGATACAATGTATTTTTTTTAAAAGAAATTATATATAAGAATGTTTTATGTAAGTAAACCTTAATTAAAATTGTATTGGTTTTGTGTGTTTCTAGACTGTGTTTTGGCTGTATTTTAAAATAAAATATTAAACGTGTTTAAAAGACATGCAAGGCCTCTGAATGTCAGAGTTTTGTGACTGATGATCTGAGGAAATGCTAAACTCCTAAAAATAATGAAAAAAATCATTAAAATATCTTGTTTATCTTTTTATCAAATGTTTGCTTGCTTTGAGCTAGTTTGCTATGTGATTAACAGACAGCAGCACGACTGCTGAGTTAAAGTGTGATCTGACATCCAGTGAAATTAGTAGAAAGATGGTATTTTTTTATTTAGAAATTAGAATAAGTACAATGGAGGTGAGCGTTCTAATTATAAAATCTTTTTGAGCAAACAGTACAACACACAGTAAAATAATTATTTATATGGTGTTGATTTCATACGGTGCACTTCCATTGTCTTCAGCAGTGCTACTGGGACAAAAGGATATAGAACTTGGTACCAATGATTTTTAGAATAAGCCCTTTTACTGTAAAGCAACTGCTGGTAAGGTGAGCAACAGGCTTACTTGGCAATGACATTTTTAAGTTTGCTTACCCCACTTCCACCTTGGAAGTTGAAGGTTCCTTGCCTGCCCACAAGCTGCCAGATCGAGTGGGGATGATTTAGTTCAAATTGAGCATGGCAGTCTCTTCTCTCATTGTGCACTGAGGATGAAAGTTTAGTAAAGTGACCAGAGGTACTTCCTGTTCTGAGAAATCTTTTTTACTAAATAGCCATTCACACAGTCATGTTCACTTACCTGAAAAATGTCCAACCCTAAATTATTAAATTTCTTACAAATATATATTTTGAGTATTAAAAGATAATTTTCCATTTGTTCACTTGTTTTTGCTAAGCAGCTTCCCTTTTGTACCCCCTCCAATTGCTAACAGATCATGTAGTTATATTTTCCTTTAACATTGAAAGCCAGAGGAATATTTTTGGCTGCATGTGAGTTTGATGTCTGGATAACAGATGCTCATTTTCCTTTGACCATTCTTTTTCCACTGAGCAAAAGTATTTAGAGACAAAATGGAAGATAAATTTTGGAAATTAAAGATCACATGCCTGTAACATGTATTTGCTAACTTTCAGAGTGTGCTTTCAGATACTGGCACATAGTATGTGTTTTTTTACTGGGGATGCTGGAGATCATCAAACATTTAAAAATAATGTGCTTGTAGCTTCTTACAGCTTTGAATAGAAAGAGAAAAGTCTGAATGCTTCCACACATGGTTATTCCCTTCCTTATCTTGTCAAGGAAGTAAATTTTTCCAGAAGTAAGGACCAGATGGAAGACAAATTAGAGAAATGACCTAACAGAAAATCAGCGATGTAAGAGAAAATTATGATGTAAAAAAAAAACACAAATACTTTTCTTTTTAATCTGTGGTCTAACCCAGTTCTAACAGCTGCAGTATTCAGGGAGAAGGAAAAGAATCCAGAATGAACATCTTGCTTACAAGAAGAAAAATGCTGCACCTCAACCTACTAAGTCACTTGAAAAAAAGAAATCCAAAATGCCTCCTATGAAAAGTCTCTGGTCCTGCTATCACTCTGTTGCCCCCAGCCCGTAACCACAACTGTTCCACATGGATGCCCCTAGAGCTGTTACTCAGGGAACCTTCTATGCTCAGCATAGAGAACCTGCTTCAGTTGCTGTCAACCTACTCTAGCAGCAGAAAGACAACTTAGATTTGTTGGCTGAAGAACATGAATTCTTCCCTGGATCTTATATTCCCCTTTGTCATGTCTGAGATGAGGAACCAGATTAACTAACCTTTGCATAAACCTCTTCTGACCATTCGTTTCCATTTTTTGTTTCACAAGAGAGACTATGCTAAGAAATCTTGTTTCTCAGTGTGAAAAAGAGCTATATAAACCTAGTTTCTTTGAAAGCATTGCAGTGTGTTCAGTTGAGCATATTATAATAATTCACAGCAGTTGGAGTTTTCCACCAGCTTTTCCTTGCATGCTTGCGTAAACCAATATTAACTAGGTAAAGGATTAAAGTTTCCAGCATGCTTTTTGAAAAGAATAGATAAAATCAGCATGATCCTTACTTGAATTCTACAAGTAAATTTCTTCTTTGATACTGTTTGGGGTCCCTGCCAAGTTTTACTGCAATTACTTAGGGTTTTTTAATGATGAAGAAAATCACATGCAGGTTTTTTTGTCAAATAGTCTTGAAAACCATTCTTACAGTGAAGGTTCATCTGAATAGTTCCACTGAAACCTAATCTGCCTAAAACTGTCTTATCATACCCATATTTCTTCCAGGACTGAGTACTGTGCAAGGGTCTAAATTCCCTTTACAGCATTTCTTTTTATCACCTGAACTCTTCCAAAGCTTTAAGAAACAGAGAGGCAGTGATAACCAGAAACTGTTGAATAGGGAGCAGGGGGCATGTTTATTTTTCCATATTCTGTTGTCAGAGTAATGCAATCAGAGTTTCAACACCTGCAAATAAAACATAAGAAAAACAGTTTATAACATCTGTTAATGTCTCTTGGTATTACAGCTATTAAAGAAACATATCACAACAAAACAGGTTAATTTCAGCTAAGAAAATTAACAGTCTGTATTTATAAACATTGGGATTTTTTTATTCTTTCCACCTTATATATTAGAAAAGTCCCAGTTAGCACTATTCAAGACTGATTTGTAGTTTGTATTTACTGTACAGCCACTGTTAACATCATCTTTCCTGGGCACAAATCACCAGGACTAAGCTATAATAATTAGCAATGTGTATTTGAAGTAACTGGGCAACTTTCAGTATTTATATTTAATGTTTCTCACTCCCAATAGAAGTTCTTCTGGAGGGGTAGTGATCTGCTGCCCCCGATGAAGTGAGATAACGGCCATTACCCACATGAACAGTGTGTCCGTGTCACTGAGCAGTGCCCTGCAGCCTTTATATTTGTCTTTCTTTTAAACAGTCAAAAATTTCATTAGCATAAGGACTGCCTTCTGACATAGCACTAGTTCTTATGTGTGGTTTTTATGTGTAGCTCCTCTGCATTAAGGTAAAAGCCACCTGTGAAGAGTGCAGGCAGCCTAACTGCTCTTACCTGCTCACAGTGTTTTGAGACAAGAAGAAAACACCCTTGGTTTTATTAATGTGATGCCTCTTACACAGTAAATAGTCTTTACTTTTTAGGGAAAGAACAAAGAAAATTATTTCTTTATTTTTAATTTAATGATAAGATGTTCTTTCCTCTTTCTTTATGCAAATATTTTGCATTTTGAATATGCATCTTGCATATCTCTTGAATACTCACTGAGTACTCATTTAAAGGATATCGATATTTGCTTTTACGTTTTCTGATAGCATTCGCCGGGCATTAACTGAGAAAAGCTGTTGCATTTTCTGCGCTGTAAATGCACAAAGGGTTTAAGCAGGCGGAGAGACAGCAGAGTCCCCGTGCGCGGGTTGTGCGATGGGACGGGCTGGCGGTGCCCACGAGGTGCCGCACTCGGCTAACACACCGCAGGGCAGCTCCTCCACCCGGCTGCCTGGGACGCTGGGAATGTTTTAAAGTAACCTGAGAAGGGATTAAACAACAGTTATATAGTTCTAGTATTTGTGTTTACTTTATTACCAGGAGTGCTAAGCATCACACTGCAGGCATCTGTGCAAAGCTCTTAAACCCGAACATTTCCGAACTAGATTAAAAAAAAAAATAAAAAAGGTTGGCACAGACAAAAGTAGTAACGCTATAGAAGGAACAAAAACATTCTTAGAAAAGTAACAGCTCCAATTATCGTGCTCTCTTCCAGTTCACCCTTCATCGCATTCCCAGAAGCCGTGAGGTTAGACAGTCTTGGATCTCCTCTGTGGTAACAACCCTATACTCCATACTCTACTCTCTTCCTTTGACCAACAAACTGAAACCAGATTTGGTAGGTAAATTTTAACTCGTTGAGAATCAGTATCATAAAAGCATTTGGAATATCAACACATTGCAGACTCTATCTCATATGCTCTAGATTTACAATTTGCAGGAAAAGTATTTTGTAAAATTAAATGTAGCAGCAATACATCAAGAGAGAACAGGTTGCACTGCTGGTGAATTAGAGCAACAAATACCAGTTTTTCTTCTCAAAGTTTGCAAGTAACATCAGAGTGTGTCATTTCCTTGTTAATGCTGGTAGAACTAGCAAAAACAAAGTTGCTGTTCTTGATAATATCTCTTTAGGATTGCAACAGCACAAACTATGCCTGAAAGCCCGGTTATCCTGTTGGCTGGACTTGCTTCTAAAATGGTATGACCAGTCTGGCACAGACAGGTTCAGACCAGCACAAATATATACAGATTCAGTTCTTGTGCTTACATGGACTTTTGAGCTACAATGCATATTTATTTAGTTTTTAGCTGACTGACATTAATTATCTCATCTAATGGCAAAAAACATCACTGCTGAATAGCAACTCCTCAGCACTTTGGTAACTTTTCAAGCTGTTCACAAAACTGCACTCTCATGCTAATTACAACATTCATTTAAAAATATTCCACAGACTTAAACAAGTCAGAAGCATTCAGGGTTGTCAAACTGTAGAACTAAAATGGAGAAACCCAAACAATAAAATTTTGTGTTAGTGCAAAAGGTACGCACTGGACTCCTAGTTTTAAGTCTTACAATTCTGTAAGAGAAAATTTGGTTACAGCTGGAATTTTTTTTTTTTGCTAGACTTGAAAGACTCTGAAGGAATCAGTAATGTAAACTTGAATTTTTTTAAAAAGCATTATTTTAGCAGAATTTCAAATTAATGTTTTATGAGGTTTAAAATATTTTATGAAATGTGTAAAGACTAGTGCAGTTACAAGGTATTTTTCATGATTTCATAGCAGCATCTGACACCCACAGAGATTATTTGTAAGGAGACTTTTTTTAACTCCCACTGTGAACTGTATGGCTAATTCTAAAGAGGCCGTTGTATATTTGTGGTATTCTGAATGTTTAGAGAGACTGCTGTAAATAATTTGATCTCGTATTGGTCAGTTCCTCTCAGATCAAAAGCTACTTGCTTGCTGGAATTTTCCAAGCAATTTACTGTGCAGAACAACAGAAGTAGCTTTATTGCATTTATTGTTTTTCAAGCCTATTCTGAAAAGATAAAGCTGGGAGAGAGGAGAAGATGCCATACTATTCTTTTTACAGAGGTTTTAATTGGGGCAGGGGAAATAATCAAGTTTGTTTGCATGAAGCAGACAGAGCAAATGTGAGTAATATTTAGTAATCACTTTGCTATACCACTGTGTTAGGTTAATGTATATATATTTTTTTACTTCTTGCAAAAGAAATTGACAAAAAATCTCACGGTGTAGCTTGTAGGAAGCAGGAAGTTACTAATGTAATTCCATGTGTTCTCTGTTTACAAAAGGAATTTAAAGTGACAGTGAGATTTACATAAAATTATTAGAAATAGTTTTGGAGTTGATAAACTATGGTAAGTTATCAAAAGACTAAGGTTTTTGAAAAACACTTGACCTTGTAAAATTGAGGATACATTTTAGCAAGGCCTTTAAGCCCTCTGTAGTGTTCAAGGGAACCACTGACTCAAAATAATATCCAAAGAGTCTTTATCCATGATTAGAGAAGGGCTGGAGGGGAGGTTGTCCCCAGTTACTTTTTCTCAGGTACAATTATCAACCACAATAGCAGCTGGCAGAAGCATCTCTGGCATTATGCCAAATCTTACAGCACTTGAAAGCTGCTTACATACTACTACTTATATGGATATTTTAGTTTCAGAATTCTGTAAAATATAGAAACTCAGAGAGCTCCAAAGATTTTAAAACACTTATCCATGGAGAGTGATTCAGGGATTAAAATGCCTCACGTTGCCAGTGAAGACTGTGTGGTATGTGAAGCAACTGGTAGTATTTAATTGCCTTTCAACAAAAAGGTTTGCAGGGAATTGCAACTCACCCTACCCTTGGCAAAATGCAGTGCTTAGGAGTTTAAAGAACTAGAAAGGCTGGGACAAATGCTTGAGTTCACAGGACTCATCTGTAACTTTTGGAATGGAAATCAAGACCCGAGTTTAGAAACAAGCACAGTATTACATCATGCTGAGAGCTTCATATTTTTAAACACTAGAGCTTATGGGTACTGTACATTTTCAGTCTAGACACTGGTTCTGTTTAACTGCAGGAGGGAAAGACAACTTTGAATTGCTTCTAAATCGTTTGTGTGTATGAATGATCCCCAAATCCTTACATTTGCTTTTAGGCTTGTCAGAAATATGTGTATGTATGAAGGAATGACTAAAGTCTTCTCTAGGCACCCAAAAGCTAGAGAAATGCAGAAGTCTTGCAGTTTTCAAGAAATGTAGGACAAGAGAAGTACTGCAAAGGGAACCTGAAACCATTAGGTGCACAAAGGCAAGGTTTGGAACAGATAAGCTTAGTTTGGCATAACTTGCATATCTGTGGAATGCAAATAGCTGCAAAGGGGAAACAGCAAACCGAGCTGCACAGGAGTTACTTGCTATGTGCTTATTTACATGAGCACTGTGTCCCTTTTTGTATCTCACACTGATCTTCTGGCAAAGCTTCTTGGTTTACTTTGCATGAGAAAGCAGTTCCATCCAACCCTTCTTCAAGATAGTGAGTTCAGAAAGAACTGAACAACTTCCAGGAGACCTTTGCTGTCTTGCAGGACTTGACCCACACTTAAAATGGGCCCCCAGAGAGTTTAAGAAATGTAAAAGTTAGCTTAGTTGTTCAGTTTGAGATCATCTTCAGGAGGCCCATTTCTGAGTTACGAACATCTGCACTCTGCAAAGTCAAGTCCCTCTAGAGATATTAAACCAAGTAACAATTAAGATGTCAGAAGTGATGATCAGCTTGTGTTTCTATAGCCAAGAATTATATAAATATAAGTGTCAGGGTGTTTTGCAAGCAAATGTATAGTGGGCAGTTTTTACAACATTGATCTGCCTTAGGTAGGCTTTCTATACAGTGGCCTAAAATTCCAGGGCAGCAAGGTTTGTGCCAGCACACTCTGCCTACACCTACCTTCCCCCAGAAAAGCTTTTAAAACCCTTCATCAGTTGCAGCCAGACTTAGCATGCAGTTGTAGCTCAAAGACTGCAAATTCCTACCGTGAAAACAGGCAGCTGGTCAGAGAAGAGAGATTTATTGTCTTCATTGAGTGAAAGGCTAAGATGCATAAAACCAGAACGAGATGTTATAAGATCTATTATTTAGGAAAAGATGCAAATCCTTCTTAGTTACAGAAAATTAGAAAAGCCACACAAAGATTTTTCCTGAGGATAGAGAAAACTGCTGAATCTTACATGGATTAGTTGATGTACAAGAAGGAATAAGCTTAAGTTATATAATATGCTTGAAATCAGTCAGTAGATACAAGTTCAAAGGAAACATCTTCAGTTCTCTTGCTGCTTACAGAACCATTGTTCTTGGGCTGGTTTGCCAGCCCTGCAACCAGGCTTTCAGGTGATCTAGCCCTTTGTCTGGGTCATGATTATCCTGGTCATTCTGGCATACCTGAAATTCAAACTGGAAACAAAGGATGTGCACCCACCACACAGCAGAAAACTACAAAATACTGTATCCAGGCCTTGCTTTCAGCCATAGAGGGGTTATGTAATTGGACCAGTGATTTGTTGTGCTTTAATATAATTAAATTTCACCTAGAACTGTGCAGAAATGCTGCATAAAGCCTTATTCATTAGTAGATTGCACATCCTGGACCCTTAGGACCAGACTTTATTCCTTTTCTGGGGACGCTTCTCAGCAGTTCCTACTGCCTAAGGGCTCTACAGAGCCTGAAATAAGCAGATATTTTTGGATCACTGCTATTTGGAAAAAACTGGGTTAAATCAGGCAAAGAAGGCGGTCCTCCCACATTAGGGCCTCCTTCCTGTGGGAAGTCTGTAGTAAGAAGTTTGCATTTGCACAGCAAGAACAAGCTCTGCTGTCTCCCTCCCCATCAGCTGTCAGTTGAATGAGTCACTCGTTAAAACTTCTTTCTAGAAGCCTGAAACCTGCACAGCTCATCATGCATGTAGCAATCTACCTATTCTTTTATGAGTGCACATCCCATCACACGTGCCTGGTCCCCTGACAGCTTAAACCGACTGCGGGCAGCTTCTAGTTACAGAAATGTTCACACAGTAAGCTAAATGAAAAGAGACCATTATTTCATTTAGCTAAGATTTTCCATCCTTTGTGCCCTGCCCAAAAGTTCACTCTAAGAAATTACTGTGACAAATAGTAAGTTATTGTCCCTTATATCACAGTTCTTATTGGAACTTTGTGGAAAGCTACAAAATCTGGGTGGTAGCATTTTTTCTCTATTCACTTCATAACAAGTGAACTTTGTATAATGCAATGTTAAGACTATCTGCTGAACACACTGAATCTTTTGCCACTATTTATAATTCTTTTGGACCAGACTGACAGTGTGTTTGACCTACTGTTGTTGTTCTAGGATCAAAGCAGTCAAAATAAGCAAGAGTAAGAATATTGGATTAAGACCTTCAGTGACACAAATTGTTTAGTCAAAAAAACCCAAAGTTAAGCTATTAAAATTTGTGTTTAACTTCTCAGTGTTGATGAAAATTAGTTTTATTCACCGCTCCTCTACCTTGTGTGCTGTGTACTGCTACACTGCACTCACAATGTAGAATTACCCTCTGCTGAGCACAGATAAACATCTAAAGCTATTCCAATTGGTTGGTTTAAAGCTGTGTTGTAGCTCTGCTCTTTCTGTGACTGCTGATTAGACATGCCTGTAGACACTACATTTCAGAGGGAGGACACGTGTTAGTAAAGATGAACTGAGTTCTTAGCTTAGATTTAAGCAGACTTTAGACATAAAAGAGTCTTAACTCATCAGCTATCCGGTTCATTATGAACCTAATGAACACC